TCAATATGAAAGTCTTATATGACGATATTCGCCACGCGTCAATTTTGGTGTAACTGTTGTATTTTACGGCAATAATCTGAATAATAACATTGCGACTTGATTTTTTTAATATCTCGGTCTTACATAGAAGTATATAATTATTCCGTAGTTTACTGTCATCAAAATATATTATATCTTGACAAAATTAGATTTGATGTGATAAAATTGTGTTAGGACGAAGATCCCTTATTTTAGCTAAAATCAGTGATGCCTATCTAATACGCCTTTACAAGAAAATTACATAAGGATTATTCTAAACAACCTTTCGCTCGACAAGACGCTGTTAAACAAATTTAAGTTAGTCCTGTCAAATTTTAATAATAAACTACTTCTTAAAAGAACGATGTCGCAAAATGGTGAGATTCCATAATATCAGAATCTTGGCTAAGCAATTTATTACAAGCCTTTATTCAGTCATACTACACCCATCCACGACATAGAACTTTAAAGTAAAAAATCTAAAGTGCAATTTTCTTTCGAAGATAGTCCAAATATGGTATGCGTATATGCATCATAGAGCTCCAAGTCACTTTCCTTGCAACTGCTTGCTGAGAAACCACTTTATTGATATTAGGCGGGCAAGTTGCAAGTTAATTGCCATAAAGGCACTACATCGTTCAGTAGTGCTCATTAACCTCAACGCTTTGATGCCATGTTGCATTTTCTGGTTTGTGACTATTGTGTTGAAAGATAAAGTAGTTCAGCCGTATTCGATTTAATAATACCTAAGCATTCATTTAATATGGAGAACTGATCGCCAACCTTCGCTAGTCAAGAAGAAGATTCATTTAATGAAATGTAAAGTAGTAATACTTTCAGACTCGTTGTAATATTAAATACGTTGAAATTCGTTTTTATCGAGACAGATAATATTCTAAATGAAACCTTTAGAAAAACATAAATAATAGTAATAGGATCGTGGTCTAGTTATAAAAAGTAATAGCTCTGTCACTCATACTTAACGACATTTCCTGTTCAGAGTAGGCACTTACTTTCATTTCCTTAATTTCCCGTCTACTTCAATGCTCCGCGAAATCCAAAATTGAGTTACATAGCAGTTTTGCCTTTTAACGTACCATAATGAAGGCAATTTTGCGCAATTTATGACATTGTTTCATGAGGGTATTTAAAAATTTAACGGCAATTAAACTCATGGAGCGTAAATTAAAATGTTTTTGTCTTAATTGTTGAAGTTTTTGAAGTTAAAGGTTAGATTCATAGGTATCTTATTATTATATTAATTTGCAACATTGATGACAAATATCCGGATAGATGAAACTAAAAAAGGTTGTAAAGATTTTTGATTATGAATTACGGTACAGTCGAATTTCGACCAATGAACGACCACTACTTACTTAACTTACTCTTTTTTCAATTTTAGCCACGCGGCGCTAGTGTACGACTATTGTGTCACGTGTTAATTGTATGTTTAAAAAAACATACATTTATCTTTGAAATAAATTAATAGTTCTTGTGAAATTATATTTTATTTATGAGTACAGAAAAAAATAATGCGTCGCAATCATTGAAATGTGGACCTATGACTTTCATGCTTTTGCCTTTCTTCAGCTGAAATTGAAATCGATTTTTATTCGATACAAGTTTAGCAATTTTTGCTTTTGGTAGTAGTAGAACTAAGTTTATACCTTTCCTATAAGAAAATACAAACATTACCAATACCGTGCGTTTAATGAACTTAATCGTTTAATAAGTGTATTTGTGCTAAAAATTATAGAGAATTTGAATAAGTATTATTAGTAATACATAAATATGAGTTCTCAAATGTCGGCCACAAATTTTAATTTACTTGGATCAAATTCGTTAAAAGATGAAATTTCCATTAAAAACGTATGGAATTATAATCTGCACGAAGAATTTTATGTTATTAGACGGGTAAAACTTTTATTATTGATCTATGTACACCAAAATGTGTAATAATTTAATTCAAATAGACAAACATGGCAGAACTGAGAGATGTATGAAGTTTACTAACAAATAATTTTAATATCTGCAGGTGGTTCAAAAATATCACTGGGTGGCTATGGACACTGAATTTCCTGGAGTAGTAGCCAGGCCGATCGGAGAATTTAGATCTACTGCTGATTATCAGTATCAGTTGCTGAGGTAATGTTGAATGATACAAAATAAGTAGTGTATAAAATAACAGGTTGCCCATAATTGTAGGTGCACCGCTTACAGGAGTGATTTCCTAAATAGAAGTGTGCTTGTCAGCAGCTTATAATTTTCTCAAGGGTATTTATCCAATAAAACATTGATTCTTGTAGATCTTTTATCTCTTATTGTTGTCTAATACCAATAAGTATTGATTAATATAAAACACTGTAATTTTGTTGTTTCTGCTTCTTACAGGTGCAATGTAGATCTTTTGAGAATAATCCAACTGGGCCTTACATTCATGGATGAGAATGGTAGGACCCCTCCGGGCTGCACTACTTGGCAGTTCAATTTTAAATTTAATTTGCAGTAAGTATAAGGTTGTATTCAATACATCTTTTATTTATTTGTTTATTATGTTTTTTATTTCCTATACATTAAAATGTTGTGATTGTTTTTCAAACATGATTAATCTTTGAAGCTTTGGAAATTGAAAAAATGAAAAAAATCCTTCTTAAAACAGTAAAGTCGATATTGTTTAGATATCTAAACAATGATGTCATGTAAATCAATACACAAATGTAATATTTGTTGCTTTGCTTATGCAATTATTACACATAACAATAGTCCTATCATGTTCCAAATGATATTATAAAGAAAGAATGATATCATTAATCTAATATCCATATTAATTGACATCTTACTATTACTATACTACTAATATTATAAATCTGAAAGTTTAGATGAATAGATGGATGAATGTTTGGTACTACATATCGCATAAATGGATAAACATATCCCACAAAAATTTGGTATACATGTAGAAAATTCTCTGAAACATATAGGCTACTAATTATTATTTTTTTAATTTGCCGCAAGCTTTGGCGGGCAAAAACTAGTTGTTAATCAAATACCTACATCTTATCTTTACCATGTCTAATTTATAGCTAAGCTATTGAAATTTGTTTCTGAGGAAACACACAAGAATAATGCAAAATTTATTTAAGTTTTTCTATATATGTTCTTTATTAATTTAAACTTTTTTCATGTGGTCACAGAGAAGACATGTATGCTCAAGATTCAATTGACTTATTGCAAAACTCTGGATTGCAATTCCGAGAGCATGAGGAACATGGGATAGAACCGCTAGAGTTTGCGGAGCTGCTGATGACTTCAGGTATTAATCACACATTTATACATTTCTAATTACCTTTTATCGGTATTATTATATTACAAGGGTTGACAGTATAGTTTAGGGTTTTATTCCTGGCCGGGGCAAAATTTTTCGAAATTTTTCAAAAACCAAGATAATATTTGTTTTCAGGTTTCTTCAGATTCCGGCTTATGGCGATAGACTTACAAACTGTCAAATTTGGAACTTAATTTGGTGAAAAGTAGATAGCGATTAGCTATCTCTGCCTCCCCCTGTAGGGTGAAAAGGTTTTATGAGAACATTATTTTTTCATTCTCTTTGTTTTTAGGAATTGTACTGATGGATAATATAAGCTGGCTTAGCTTCCATTCTGGATATGATTTTGGCTATTTGCTGAAGCTACTCACTGATCAGAATCTGCCCCAAGAGGAAAGTAGTTTCTTTGAAATTTTACGTATGTACTTCCCAACAATCTACGATGTCAAAGTAAGTTCTAACTTTTTTTTATGATTAATTCCCCAAAAATTTGTAAACACAAAGGGTCAAATTGATTCATATAAAATGTATTGTGTTTTAGAGCTTACCTGTGTTCTGTTTACTATTGATCTCAAGATATGGTACTCTTGTATTTAGATATTTTGTAATAAAATTAAATAGAGTTTTGTACCTTCTAATTTTTTTTTCAGATAAGTTAAATCTTTGCTAAGGCAAAGGTTAGGAAGCAGTTTTCTAGGGTTTTTTGTTGTTTCAGTACCTAATGAAGCTGTGCAAGAACCTGAAGGGTGGACTGCAGGAGGTGGCGGACCAGTTGGAACTGCGTCGCGTGGGCCCGCAGCACCAAGCCGGCTCGGACTCCCTGCTCACTGGCATGGCCTTCTTCAAGATCAAAGAGGTAAATTAGTTGGCTCGTAAGAGTCATTGTTAAATAATTTAGAACCATTGGGCTGTTAACAAAAGTTGTTCATGTATTCTGAATTAACCTTAGACCTTTAAATTGATTATGCAGATATTCTTTGACGGCAACATCGAGAGCACCAGCGGTCACTTGTACGGACTCGGCGCGCCTTTCGCCACCAACGCCAACAACTTCCAGGACAACGGCGACAACGGCAGCCCCTCCTGAGACGAAGAGTCCGCTGTGCGCCCCGCGCCCACTGCGCGCAACGCACCGCCTGCGCGCACCGCACCCCCCGCGCGTACCGCACCCCCTGCGCGCTCCACACACCCCGGGCGTACCGCACCCCCTGCGCGCAACACACACCCCGCGCGCAATGCACCCCACGCACGCGCCGCGCCCTCCACCTCCTTCACCAGTCAACTGCAGAAGCTGCACCTCAATGATTGAACATAGCAATTAACATAAAAAAACTCAGTGTAAACCTAATTCAACAACTAATTTAAATCATCTATTTCTATTGATGTATTGTGCGCGAACTATTATAATAAACGTTTTCTCTTCTCTGTTCTGTTTCGTATGACGGCAGTTTTATTTTTAGCCTTCCCAATGCGACTTATAAGTAAGTTGATAATACTTTTAGAAATAAAAGCCGTATCTTATTATTATAAGTTGACCATGAGTAACTATACTTTTTCCTTATGGTCAGTAATATTTTGATGCAATAAAATAATTCACAGCTTAAAAAAGTAACAAAATCTGTGTATCAATGAACGACAGAATTAAAACAAATTTCTAGTATCATCATTTATTTTAAGAATTTCTCAACTCGGAACTAAAAGCATACATCTGACGGGCGGAGTAGCGTTTACAAACTGAGCAAAAAAAGGTATTAGAGAGTAGAGTTCTAAAAACTATGTATTAAAATAAACATTTTTAAGAGAATGGAATGAGTACTGGCAATATGAAATGAATCAAATACTTAAGTTATCTCTAAAAAGGTATAAAAACCGAGGTAAGTTAATAAATATACTTGTACAGTAAACTAGTTCTAAGAATTGTTGACGGTCACGCGGCATTGTCGACACGTTTGTTTAAACTTGTTTGGTTTTACTTTTTCTTTTTCTTATTCTTCTGGCTCGCATCGGGTGTGCTCTCAGCTTTACGCTTGCTGGCGTTCGCACCTTTTCCGGTCGTATTGCCGCCGGGAGTATTCTGATTCGTAGCGCCTGTCTTCTTCTTCTTCTCTGCTCTCTCTTTTTCTTCCAACTCCTGGTTTTCTCTTTCGATTAAAGTAATGAGAGTGTTGCACCTGAAAGATAAAAGATAGCCTGTAATCAAACACTTAAAACATGTGTTGAGATTTGTCGCCATAATGCAAATAAAATACAGTAAAACCTTGACGTTAGCTTTTGAAGAGGTTAAAACAAATTCTATAATTAGGTTACCTATATTCACGGTGCCAAAGTAAATATAAAGGTATAAATTATTTGGTGTACCTGCGCTGCAGCTCGACAGCAGTGCGAGACTTGAGGAACCAGTCGAAGCGGAACTGTGGCGCTGCGTGCACGGCCGCGCGCAACTCCTCGTACACGTTCTCCTTGTCGAAGCCTAGCTTGTGCAGCATGCACACCAGGAATCTGTAACATACAACATACAAACCAGGTTTTAATTAAATAATAATGTTTGATGGAATGTCGAAATTAAAGTCGGCACTACCGAATTATTCTCATAGCAGCATATTTTCATGTTTTTGGAGCAAAGACGATCTTAATAGTAAGTATACATTAAATATGTAAGTAGTACACAAATCACCTGTCTTCTTCCTCGACGTAGTTTTTCCCCTTGTTGGTGCCGTATGAGATTCTTAGCTGATGGAAAGGCGCTCTGTAACGCGCCATTTTCGCATCCAATGCTTTCTTAATAGAGGCTCTTCTTTGTATCTTCGCTTCTCCTCTCTCTATTTGTCCCATGATTCTGTCAATATCTTGAAGCTCATGGCATCTCTCCCAGAATACTGCTGAATACTCCATAACCTACAAAATTTACTTGTTAATGATTTCATTTTTTTGTTTATTTAATTTGAATATAATAACTAAATACCTCTTCTGGTGTCTTCCCTTCGACATCTTTCGCAATGTTTTCAATATCATCTCTGCCATACTTTTCATTCGCTTTAATAAACTGATTAAAGTCTCTTTTAGTCCAATTTGTAAAGCCTGAGAAAAGAAAAATATGTTTAATTTAATTTGTCATATAATTGCTGCTTCCCTAAAATAAACACGACTTTTGAATTGTAAGAATTAAAATATGGAAATTGAGAACTTTACCTTGAGTTAATAGTTGTTCTTTTTCTTGTATTTCCTCTTCAGTTAATGCCTCGGCTTCGTCGATCTTACGTTGCTCTTCTCTCTGAATTTTAGCAGCATCCGGCCCGAGCTCAGGATTCCGAGGCACCTTGTACCTGTTAAAAGTTAATTGACCTCTTTACAAATATGCTCAAGTGTGTTTGATTATTATTTTACGTTACAACTCAAGCATTAAGTCAAGTTACGAAAAGTATTTAACTTACCCTAAAGTTTTTCTATAGTGATAAATTTCCTGATCCAAAAGTTCAAAAAGTCTCGGCGGAAAGAATTGGAAGTCTTGAACTATCGGCTGCTTCGGCGGTCGCGGGGCCTGCGTACAGAGGACCAATGTAAGTAAATTGTAACATAATAATAAAATTAAATACAATAATTACTACATTTACTAAAAACAATACCATGCAGTAAGTTAGTGGGCAAAATACAAACTACTTACCTTTTAATAATAAGCAAGAAAATAAAAATGCTTTCTACTATTAATTTTTCTATGATATTACATACATATGTTAACGTGATATTAGCTTTCATTCGACTTAATGCACAAAATATATAAAAACTATATGATAAAATTAATCGTTGATAATCCAAAGACAATACATATAAGCTTGAATATATTATATTTACAACATAAAACATGGATTAAGTTATTAATGAAAAATGCACAAAAACATATATGTAAATAGACTACAGTATAAAGAGCTAATATAATATGTAACATATAAATGATTTAGAAATGATCAATGAATACCAATATTTATTAAAATAAATAGATGTGATATTCTTTCTTTTGACTTAGTTGTTATAACAATTAAACATAAAAACATTCCATCCAAAAGGTTAACTACTATGTTATTCTTATCAAAATATGACTGGTAAATTTTTCAAAGCCATTCCCATATTATGATGGATTATTTTTTTTTTTTGACTATTGTACAAGATTGATTTTTAAAAGTTATGGAATAACACAATATCTAAATTGGTATCATTTGAAAAAAAATGGTAATGTATATTAATGATTAACTATTACCACCAGAATTTTAAAAATTACAAATTATTAATTAATCTATAAGTTCTATGATGAGAAAAGAAATATCACTTGATAAAATATATATAAAAATTCTACTTTACAAATACCAATATCCATGTCCAACAAGCATTGATCATATAGAAGCGAGACAGCGAGATGAGAGACAGAGATGAGAGTACGGTCCACGTAAGTCCTTAGCTCTTTACACTTATTTACCTGTACCTTGGGCGCCTTGGGCTCGGACACGCGCAGAGCCTCGCGGAAGTACGCGTCCACCGCATAGTTGGCCTTACGTTCTCTCTTCGGGGGCTCTATCCAGCTACCCACAGGGATTATTTTCTGCTTTTCCCTGTAGTCCTCGCCTACATTCGTTTATTATAACAAATTATATTATTATTTATGTTTGATAATCAATCGAGTGCCAACTTAACCAAAATCCCATTTTGATGCAAGATTCATATTTAAATGTAAATCAGTCTACTTTACCTTTAAAGTTTTACCTTTATATAAATTTAATATGTTGTTGTGTTAATATGCCTATAAACAGTTATCGATTAAAAATTATATCAAAGTATTATATCAGTACTGAAATAAATTGGTCAAATGTAGCTTTTTATATTGGTACTATGTTGAAACTACCTTACCTTCAAACTGATAAACAGAATCAGTGGTGGCTCCCGGTGTATCCATGGAGAACGCCCGCAGAGACGACTCGCCCAGACTTTCCAGTTTCTGTTTCAATTCTTCAGTCTGCAAAAGAAAAATTTAAATAGATTGTTTAAAGTCAAATATAACTGCCGCAATCAGGGTGATCATTTAGTGTTACTGCCGCACACAGAGACGTTATTTAATCAATAAGATTAATCCCTTCCCCCTTCTCTTCCTTAAGTGTACACTAACTAGATTTAACATAGTAAATCTTCACAATGGATATTAATTAACTTTTAAATGACTCTAGAGTACTGAACTCAGTATATATCTACCTTGCTTTCTCCTTTAGCCAATATAGTGTCGATATCTTCATCAGTAATCTCAGAGTCTTTAGAAGAGAACACATGATTGGCTCCATGTCTGATCATGTTAAGCATTTCATCTTTATTGAGCTGGTTCTTTGTATCAACCAGTCGGCCAGATTGTATCACCAACTTGTCCAAACGCAGTTTCACTTCAGCTCTCTCTACGATTTTCTCTTCCACAGTATTATCTGTGATCAGACGGAAGACTCGCACCTGGAAAATACAAATATTTAGTCCTCTTAATTATGTGGTTGCTTTAACAAATCTAATTATATCTTATTCCTACAAAACCTATTAATAAAGAAAAATACTAAACATTTTAAAAACCATATCTTAAATTCGAATTTGCAATATATTCACCTGCTTCATCTGTCCAATTCTATGTGCTCTGTCCATAGCCTGCAGATCCATCTGTGGATTCCAATCTGAGTCGTATATGATGACAACATCGGCGGACGTCAAGTTGATACCCAAGCCACCGGCGCGAGTCGACAACATGAAGACAAACTTCTCACTGCCCTCCGCATTGTACTCTTCTATTTGTCTGTTCCTATCTTCATGGGGAGTTTGACCATCTAGACGACAGTACTGTAAAAAAAAATGAAATTAATAAACTGCAAAATTCTATTCTCAACAGCCTTTGTACCTTCATACAAAGATATTATAAATGCGAATGTTTGGATGGATGGATGTTTGTTTGATGGTATCTCCAGAGCAGATGCACAGTTATCTCTGAAACTTGGCATAGAAATAAAACATAGTCTGGAAGAACACTTAGGCACTAATTAAGATTTTTTTTTAATTTCGCGTGGACAGAATCATAGGCAACAGCTAATTCTACCTATATTTCATTATTTAGCTAGAGCTAAATTAAAGTTTATCAATATCTATATAACGAAAAATAATGTTCTAAATTAAAAGAGGTTTTAATTAATTACCTTATATTGTCTCCAGTGGCAATAATCCTCTAAAATATCAAGCATTCTTGTCATCTGTGAGAATATGAGCACTCTGGATCCTTGCTCACGAAGCTTTGGCAATAGTTTGTCGAGTATTACAAGTTTACCGCAGTTGTACACAAGATGCTCATCAGTGGTATACGGTGGCCCGGGCTCAGCTCCATCAAACAGATATGGGTGGTTACAACATTTACGCAACTGCATGAGAATGTTTTGCAATCGCATCTTTTCCACTTTACCAGCCCCATTCACTGAAACAAGTATACTATTATACAGTTGAACAATATATGTTTATAATTAAAATTTACATATAATGTATTATAAAAAATAAAGACAGCACATTTAGTTACGAAATATATGTGTAAATGGTATTAGAATTTGAAAACTCGTCGGCAAGGTATTATAGACATTATATTTATGCTTTTACATGTCGCAATCGCAAATCAAATACATCAAATCTGTCTTACCAACATCAATATCCTTCATCAATACCTTAGTATACCAATCTCTTTGCATTTTACTTAAGCCAACATAAACTTTAACTTCCTTCTTGGGTTTCAATTTCTTTTCTACTTCCGACTTGAGACGTCTCAGTAAGAATGGTCTTAGAACAGCATGTAAACGAGAAACAAGCTGATTGTCACCCAGTGCCGCATTCGTATTGAACCAAGAGTCAAAATCCTAAAAATAGTTGTTTAAAACTTATAATAGTTGTATAAAAGACGTAGAATAAAATTACAATATTTTCTAATAATTCGCCAAAATAGCGAAGCGCCTTTGTCACACACATCTGTATTTGTAGATGGATTCTCTTGGAGGCATATGAGGGGATACACATAATCATTTAATAACAACTATTTCTTTCTTTCTTTCAAGCATGCATCGCAACTGTCTAGACCTCATCACCTTTCCTTAGAAGTATAGAGAAAAGGACTATTAAGACTATTATTAATTAGACCATTAGTAAGTTTCTCTGTAATACTAGTGGTTGCGCGCGACTCTGTCCGCGCAGAATAAGAAAAACATATGATTTTTAAAACTTACATCAGAGCTATTGAATACATCAGGTAAAAGGAAATTAAGTAGCGCCCACAATTCATGGAGATTATTTTGCAATGGTGTTCCAGTCAGGAGCAATCTATTCATACTTTTAAATTCACGAAGGAGCTCTGATAGTTTCGATTTCTCGTTCTTAATGCGATGAGCTTCATCAATAACCATATAACGCCAGTTGAACTTTTTGAAAACGGATTTCTCCCTGATGATCATTTCATAAGATGTAATACATACATCCCAATTACCAGGCATAAGCGTTTCACGAATAAACGTATTCTGCAAATAAAATTGTCAATTTCATTTCACTTACAATAATAAGACAAAAGATAAAACTACTAAAAGTAATAAATAGTGAGGCGATCCCAATCCTTTCCTTGTAAGAAAAGGGGGGGATGGGAAAGGGTAAAAATAGGCATCCAACATGCAATTTGGCTTTTAACAAAAAATTATGTGGTATTGATATGTTGGATTGGATATTGATCAATTACATATTATGAAAATACATTTCATCTTACAATTATATATACAATTACAATAACATTGGCGCTTCTACAAAACTGAAACACAACAACCTAATAGTAAGACATAATATTTACCCTTGTCTCTTGGTCACCAATCAAGCACACAGCTCTAAGTGACGGGCACCATTTCTTGAACTCATTCATCCAATTTGTTAATGTTGATTTTGGGACAATAACAATGTGTGGTCCAGGAACATTTCTGTAAACAATCTTTTATTAATTGTGAAGTCATTAACTTAAATTATGAATTTATGAACTTGAATTTTGAACATAAAAAAAGTAGTGTGGGGTTTTCTAGCCATGCCGCCTCAAAATTGATACTTGTTCAATCATGTTGTTTTCCTAGAAACAATAACCAATATTTTTTTATAACACAGTTCAGAGGTTAATTGGAATAAATCCAATTATTCCAAAGTATTAAATAAAAAAACGAAGAACATTGCCGTTGTTTTTGTCACACGCAATCTAAACACAATAGAATGTGATACATACCTAAAGTGTTTCATGTAACCCAACAGTGATATTGTTTGTAAAGTTTTTCCAAGGCCCATCTCATCGGCTAAAATTCCATTAATACCATTCTCATATAATGATATCATCCAGTTTAGACCACGGACTTGATAGTCACGCATTTCCCCATTCTTAATGTAAGGGGGTGAAGCTTCAAATCGGAAAATTGTTTTAGTTTTTGTATTCGTTTCAGCCAAGAGTTCTTCATCCTCTTCTTGCTCTGTTTTCCGATGACGATGACTGAAATATAAAATATGTAAACAAAAAAACTAATTCTTGCTTAAATAAAAAAGAATAAACTACAAAATAATATAATTGTAAGTTAAAATAAATAAAAATTGCACTAACTCGCCGGCTGATCCAGGTAATTCAGGATCTTTGATCTTTTTAGGTCTCCCAGCTTTAGCTTTCGGTGGGCTACTTCCAGACTTTGGCGTGTTACTCATAAAATGTGAAAAAATTTCGGTTTGTTTAAGCAAAAACTCAAATCTTTTGGAACGATCAGTTTCAATTTTGCTTTCAAAATCTCCTTCTTTTCCCCTTGATGAAGTTGTATCACTAGAAGATCCATTCTGAAATAAACATGTAATTTATTATCCCCTAATTGCCTGTAATGTACGATAAAAATATTACAAGCGTTTGTACTGAAAACAAAACAAGTATGACAAAAGAGTTGCAAATGTGGACACTAACTGAATTCTCTCCTACTTCCGTGGCTTCCATTGCTTCCTCTGTGTTTGACATAGCTGAAATATAATTATATCTTAACAACGGTTATTGCGATGTTACTTAAAAATAGTCACAGACTTTTCATTTAAGAAAATTAAGTTATAGAAAGTCGATAGAGCATTTTATAAAACCAATACGTCCTTAGTGATTGACGATTGACAATTAACGCCGGGCGGGCGCGAAAATCACAGAGAAAAAACACTAACTTCCATAGATATCCACTGGACAAATTGCCGCTAAGAAAAGATACCTTTTGGTTCGCTGCGATATAAGCGCAGGTTGAAGTTACAGTCACCTAATTCTTTCACTATATTGAGTTCGAGTTTTCAACAACACGACCTACACCGCTATCTTCAGCGTCAAAATGGCGGAAATCAAATAGGCACAAGTTACTACAACTTGTAGCATGTCCAGCAGAGATAATGTCTAGTTTTTTAAAACAAACACAGATAAAGGAATATAAACAACAACTGTAATAACGTCGGATTAATTAATTATTTTGATTATTAATCATTATTTATTAATTAATTATCAATGTACATATGAAATTACAAAATTATAAAAGTACAGAAGACTGACGGACAGGCGAATAACAAACTCAGGAACTGCAGAGCGAGGTCAAGTGCTAAACAACTGACCAACCAATGCATTAATATAAATTGGTTTAATTTTGTTATTTAAAATTACTTGCCAAACACGCTTCAGGGGTCCATGACTTCTGAAGACCACATTCAATTTAATAGATGTTTTTAGTTCAGGCATGATGATAAGATACGGGAAAGGAGCTGGAGCAGGCGTTCAAATTAACTTATCGATATTAAAAATAGAAACAATTATTATAATTTACTTGTCAACAATATATTAATATCTATAATTACACTAATACATATTTACATTAAAAAGACGTACTTCTAGACTACTATTTATTTTTAACAGCATTATCAATTAGAACTTTTAAATATTCTAATTTTTCTTCTTTGGATTTCCGATTTGAAAATTCTTCCCATAAAACCTGAAAAAAACATTTTTTTTAAAAAAAAACAAGAATATTTTTATATTAAATAATATTTTTAAAGTTGAAAATTTTAATACCAATTCTGCACAGTATCCTAAACCTTTAAGTTCATTTATTTTGCTTTTAAAAAGACCACTTGGTGTTTTGGTGTTATGAATTAATGCATTTCTTCCACCAATTATTAACACAATCCAACAATTATTATTAGGCGGTGTTTTCAGCAGCCCAAAATGTTTGTTATCAAAAGTATTTCCCACTGGTACTGCACAACCCTTATGATCATTGCACAAAATAATATCTGTGAAGAAACAATTATCAAATTAATAAAATGAGTGTCAGGGATATCGAAAAAAACCTATTTCGCAATTATAATGTATTCACTTTTTTTAAATTCCACACTAATGAAGATGTAGGCAAGCAATAGGAGAGATTAAAAATTTATTACAATTTCTTTTTGGTCTTTACCATAGTTACAAAGGGATACATTCAGATATATTGTTTGATATATTTATTCCAATTATTTTGAATTGTTTTAATATTGTTTCATCAATAACATACCTCCTCTTTGATGATGTGTCAAAATATGACCACCAGTCACAAAATCATCTCCTCTAGCTCCTTTTAAGATATTTAACACATCTAAGAACATTCTTTCAGAGACATTGTACTGTTTTTTATAATTTTCACTAGGTACATAATCTGTGTATTTTTTAGCAAGTATAATTGCTTCCTTATCAGAGAGAAGTTTAATGTTAGAGTCTTTGCAAAATATTTTTGCCGTATTGTGTAGTGTCAAAATTTCTCTTCCATAGGTGATACTGTGTTTACCATATGTTTTTTGCAAAAATATTGGATCAAACACAAATTTTATAAGTTCTTCAGGATATATTCCTAAAAGCCCAAGATAGGCTATGCAACATACAAAGGATCTTCCATAGATATTACGCTCAACCTCTCTTTCTGGTTTTTTCAATTCTGCTATTACATTATGTAGAAAGTCTTTTGATGGTGTGTAATTAAATGTGCCAAAAGTCAATGCTAATCTTTCTAGATCTTTTAATCTAGTTTCTGAAATTGCATCAGTGACTCTATTTGAAATGGCTTTTAAACATCCTTCATGAAAGGTCAATGTAGATGTTGCCATTAACCCCACATGAACATTACACATTACTGATAATCTGGGTACTTCGGCTTGTAACTTATCTAATAACAAATATATTCTGTCCCCAGTTGCAACCTTCATTGAATATCTAATTATTTTCAATAGGGCTGCAAGTGAAATTTCATGTATTTGGGAAGAATTATTTGAAATGATATCTATTATTTTGCATATTATATCCATATTTCTTACTGGAGTTTTACTTTTGAAAAATCCCATGGAAATAATTGCAAGTTCATCAATAGAAAATTCATTGAAGCGTTCATTGATGAAAATCTCCAAATTATGTATATTTTTTGGTGATCTTCTCTGTATGCCAATAAAGAACATTGTCCTCACAAGTTGCGGAGCTGTTAAATGTTTTGCTTTTGAAGCTAATTTCAATAAACATCTATATGAAAAATCACTTGCTCTGTTAATATTAAGCATGTAGAACATAGTGATGAACTCAAGCATTTCATCGTATGACCAGTCTCTTATTCTTTTTAGACATTCATCATCAAGTGCTGCCCAAACTTCTATGAAATTTCTTGTTTTTATAGAATTTGTTACAGGCCATTTTAGCAAAGAATAAAACACCGATTTTAACTCAGTATCACTTGCCTTAGTCAAGTTATCTGTTAAATTATCAATGAAATCATCAAAAATTTTATCAGATATGCACTTATTGTGTTTAGAGCACAATACACCAAGGATACAAAATGTTTCAAAAATAGTGTGGGGTGGTTTCTTCGTCCAATTTTCTGATAATAAATCTTCCAAAGAATAATTAGAAATATGTACCTGGTCTTGTTTATTATTTAGCTTCATCGCGTATCCTTTATTTTCCATTATATTATAAGCATAACTATTTTCATTTTCCATAAATATTTTTGCACACAAACTTGAATTTTTATGTAAATATCTACAATTATTGTATATATTTATATGAGATGGTTTTAAGCCTTGATAACGCACCAATGTACGTGAAAATCGAAATAATGTATTTATTGTCATTTTGAAATAAAAATTAGTAGTTTATCGAATTAAATGTTGCATTAGTCTGAGAAATGGTAGAGGAAAATTGGCCTCGATGTCTTAACAAAGTATACTTATGTAACAAAACATAATGTATAAAAATTAAAAACAATTAATCAATACTTGTTTCTTTCACAAATAATTATATTCGCCTTTATAACTGTTTATAACCTCAATTTCCTAACTCTAAAACTGAGCTATCAATTTGACATTGACACTTGTTAGACGGTGAAAACTGGTTTACTAGTTTTCATCAGGTGAAGACAGTATTAGTCGCGCGCATGCGCATATATTTATCACATTACCCATAAATATAAAATATCTATATTTTTAATATGTAACCCTTCACAAAATACAAAAATACCTTTAAGTTTCCAATTTACTTTCACAAATATTACATGATTTTCTTGCAAAAATTTAGGAACCAATGAAAGAATTGAAAATGTCGTGTTAGATCTCAGAAATCATGGTATTGTAACCACATTGTACCCATTGTTCTGATTCGTCCCAATGTCCAAAATATTGAGGTTTTACATAGAGAGATTTTACTTCCACATTTTTTCCTAGGCCAGGAACAGGTACAGGACGATTTTTGTCTTCTATCGCTCTTTTTTCACCTAAATACAAATGTTTGTCCAACCATGTCGGCTAAACAAAAATATACAAATTAACTACGTGAAAAATATACATCTAAGTAAACAGATTGAATCCAATTTTTTTCCTTACCTTCATTACCTTAACATCCGACGTACGTTTAAAAGGCCATAATTTCGTTTCACTGTTTATTTCTTTAACATATCTGCACCATAAATCCCAATATATCTGTATTTTAAACAGAAAGATTTGGTCAAACCAGACGGCACATCGGTATGACATGAAATGAAATATTTGTATTACCTTTTTCTTAGGAGTATTCGCTATTTGAAAATATCTTACGCCATGTGTGGTAACTGCTTTCAGTGAATTCCGTATATGTTGTTTGAATATAATGATTTTAATAACATCAAGGGAATACAAATAGTACAGTTTTAATTGTTTATCGTACTTTGGCATATCTTCCTCGTTTTTTTCAAACTTTATGCAATAGACCATAGATGCGATTGCAAAATTCGCATTAGTTAATCCTGAAAACGTATTCTTATTCTTACATAAGCACAAATACTTCTTTTATTAATAGAAGGACATCGAAGAAGCTGGTTATATCTCAAAGGAAATCGATGACTATTAAGAAATAAAGATAAACCCAGTTAGTAATACAATAATTGTAGTTGCTATATTACCAAGTATGACTGAGCGTAAATATTTGCCACTCCTGCTAGTTTCAAGAAAATGACTCTCTATAAGAACAATTTCATTTGAATTCATTTGGTTATCTGGCAGCAGTTTCTTAATTTTCCCATAAACCATATTTCAATAATCCTGCCAGTTTCTTATATTTATGTATGAGGATGACGTTTTTACAAGTGATATCGAATGAGAGAAAATAAATGTGTCAAACTGTTTTTTTTTAATTTATTGCAGATTAAACAAGAAATATAGAAGTGTATAACAATTTAAACATTTTGTTAAAAAATGGCTTACTGTATACCGAATTCGGATGCTACATTGCCAAATGCCAAGTGGTATGCAATGCTGAATTTTTTCAATTTGTACGTCTTTAAAAATTATTTAAATATGTAAATAATATTTTACCATGCCATCAATATGAAATGCAACTTTTCAAATAAATTGTTTGGGTTTACATTGATATTGCATGTAATAAGTATTAACAGTACTTCTATTTGATTTGTATTTATTTTATAATATTCAGTAAAGTAGTAAACTTAAGAACAAATTGTTATACATAAATGCATTAAAATATTTAATCAAGAAATACAAAATGCTTCGAAAAAATGCTTCACTTCTGAATGTCGAATTTAACATAACATAACATACAATAGATAAAAATAAAATACATATAAAATACAACAGTGCAAATTCTCGTTGAGAGGATTATTAACGTTTAAAGGAATATAAATAAAACCAGAATTGCATTTACACTTTTTTATTATAATGACTTAGGTGTTTCACGCAATATTTTATGTTTCTGCTGCAATATATACTTCACATTTTAATTATTTTAACGTATTCAAATATTCAGTATTGAACTAAAAATAAGATGATTTCTTGTTATTACATATACCTAGCAAATAACTTTGGTTGAAATTTATTAATTTAACCAAATGATTTTACATTTATTTATTCATATACTTTTATCTATATCTAAACTGTATTTCATTTTGTATTATGCGGACAGTTGATGGACACATTCAAGTCAGGAGACTTAAGGTGATGATGGCTACAAAGGGAGAACAAGACCGAAAAAGTATTGATGAATTGAGTGAGGATTTTCCGCATAATCCCCTTTTACACTATCCATCCATACTTTCTCGGGTAGGGAGTGAATTCAGATATGACGGCTGATAAAGGTGTATGTAAGGCAGAGCCTATTGCAAAGGTGATGGTGATGAATTATTTTTTTTCTAATTAATACTTTCAATCTGATCTGTTATGATCTTATTTAAGAAGTCCACATTTTCAAGTACATTATACGTAATGGGCGGTAATTTTTAAGACTGTAACTTTCTTCAAAAAATATATAAAGTCTTTAATGACTTATTATTTTATATATTTTTATTTGTATTCATACGTGTCGTTAAATTATAGAAACGCAAATACAATACCTTAGAAAAATTACAATGCTACTAGCACTACAATTGCCTAATAATAAATAGTTGCGACTTTATTTGAAGCAAACACACGTCATCGCCCCGCGTCCGCCTGAAAATAACAAACAACATTTGTAAAACTTACACTTTAAAAGCATACAAGAATTAAAAACTTAACACAAGAACTTATTTATGCTTTTTTAGCCATAAGTTATGCTTCAAAAGTGTAATAGTAAGTATTTATAAGAATGAACTATTTTTGCTTGGGTATTATGGATGTATGGATTACTAGTATGGATTTTTCCAATGATTCAATAATTTGAAGTCTCACTTCTTACTTAGACTAATAGAGTTCTGATCTTATTGTTCATCTGTAATAAACGAAGTCTTTGACTACAACTGCAAAGTGACATAAAGTGCAAATCTATATTTACATTTTGTTATTATGATTCCCACGCCCTCGGTTATAGAAATTCAACACGTATTATATTAAGGTAACCTTCACCATAATATGTTAAGTGAATTATTTCGCTATATAAAACATCACGAGATTTACATATCTGTGTACATATTACCAGCAGATATGTAACATTAATAAATTAATAGTTAAATTAGTAGCGTATTTCTGTTAGACGTAGTCAACTTTGTACTTAATTTGTTGACCAACAAGTGCAGTGCAATTATTATTTTTATTTATCTTACATTTCATTAATAGTCGCTTTAAAACTTCACTTTATATGCATTTGTTACATTACATCCGTAAAGTTATGAAGCTAGAAGCATAACAGGACGAATTGTAGCACGAATCAATCAATGTTTAGTTTTGGAGACTTTAGGTATTCTGATGGACGGAGGCAGCGGTAAGATGTTATTGCCGTATCTTACATGAAAGTTCTTATCTAAAGATATAATCTCTTTCTTATGCACGGCCTTATTAACAGACATTTTGACATTTTTATCCTGAAAATGATTATGTGTTAAGCCTTGAAGGAAACGTTAAGGTTATAGAGTAGAAGATACGGAATTCAAAGAATTTTTACTTACCAAGGCTTCAGTCTTCTTACGTAAATTGGATCTAGACAATGTAAGCGCTAATTCTGATTGCAGTCTACTTGATATAGATTCATCGTCTGGGATTAAATGGCCGTCTACTTTGTCACCGTTGAGAAAATCAAGTTTTAGAGGTTCTCTTCTTCCAACATTGTTAACGTATTCCCCTATCGTAACTGAAACGGGTCTTGCGATTTTCTTCATAGTTGCCGTTCCATTGGGTGCTCGAACAAAATAATTAGGTGGTGGTTTAGGCTGTACATTTAGAGGGTTCTTTAATTTATATGATTCGAGTGACTCTATCTCGGCATTTTCTTCTTTGATGTTCTTCAAATTGTACTGCAATTGTGTGTCAGCTTTGTTGTTATAATCTGGTGTTGGCGTGCGTTTGAGGGTACCGACCTTTTTTACATTTGTATTAATAATGTGATCAACTTTTTCAGATTTTGGTTTTAGAATTTCGACTTTCTTAGTCTCGCCGTTTTGATGACCGTTTGCTATTGGCATCTGGAAGATACACGTTATCATTTGAGTGTCAATTGTAAGAGCATCGATAAAGAATATTATTATTTTAGTCACGACTTATTGCAAAATGTAATAAGTATTTACTTTTAAGTTTTTTTTTGTTTGAGTGAATAAAGGTATAGTTACCTGATGTTAAGTCATCAATGCTCCAATTTTGGAAAATATGTAAAATAGAGTAACAGATGCGAATTATACTTACAGGAGGCGGAGGCGGCGGGCAGTCTACTACGTCTTTGTGCTGCTTCACCCCATTGCTGACAGGTGATTCTTGGGGAACTGGTTCAGGTTTCTCTTTCTTTATCTGCAGTGTTGGTTGGCGATCCTTATAACAATAAGAAATAAACATAAATAAGTCTTCCTTGAACTAAAAATCATTGCCGTTTGAAATTTGTCCTCATATAAAAAGTTACTTAAAGTCAAGTGTTGTTACAATCACCGTTGATAATTTTTTAGTTAAAATCTCAACTTGCATTGAAACTGCTGAAGAAACTGGGTATTGAGTTTCATTTTTAAACCACTTCGAAAAATGTAAATAATTAAGAAATAATAAATGAGAGTTATATGAATAAAGTTTGTTATATTCATAAAATAGATCGATAATTAACTTTTTCTTTACGCAAAGTGTTTAATTATTATCAATATTAGAAACGATAATAAATTCATTGTTAAATTATTAACTTTCTAAACCGGCGGAACAAATCGCAGTTGAAATTCACCTTGGATAATTGCTCTCCAAGGTAAAGTCAACTTACACCATTCCTGAGGAAGATTTTATGCGAAACATATGAAATACAAAAGTCTTTTGTACTTTTTTCATATTATAATATACGGATAATTTAAACAAAGCATCACGAATCACTGCCATTGCCACTCTTTTTATACAATAGTAAAACAAGTATTGTTCAATCATTGAAGGTAAAAATGTACGTTAACCTTAGATAGCGATTGGCTAGTCTTTACAATTGTGTCTAAAGACTGTCTTATTTTGCTACTTTAGCTAACCAAACAATACATTATCGGAAAAGTATTGAAATTACTCCTATAACCCTAAATATTATGTTGAGATTTAAAACAATTTGATTTAGCGTAGTTGGCATACTAAGAACAACACGAAAAAGTTTTCCCACCTGAACCAATGTTTCAAAGTTACGAATCTATTAGCTATCGCCCGCGACTCTATCAGCGCGAAATTAAGATAAAAAACTTCATTCCTATGATCACCTGTGCAAAATTACATCAAGAACCGTTAAGCCGTTCCGGAGATACCTTGAAACAAACATCCACCCATCTAAACATTCGGATTTATAATAGTAAGATGACTTTATGATAGATCGTCTTAAAATCGTTGTTTGAAATGGATCTGTGTTTATTTTATACTAATCAGAATTAGCCCCTTATATGTATTACGACAGACCTAGAATATCCGGTACACGTCCGGTGTTCTAATGCCTTTTAGAGGCTATGCATAACAAATAATTCACAGCGATAATTCTAAACAAACATTAAATTAATCTGTACCTGCATAATGGAGGTCAAAATCGTGTTATGTAATGATCGGGGTCTTTGACATTGAACTTTGTGCATACTCCGCTAAGGCTACAATGCAAAACACCAGAGAAACAAGTGAATGACGTAATTTTCATGCGCCGCCGCTTAACTAAAGGATAACGTCGAATAAGTAAGGTAGAGTACATACAATGTTGTACGTATACAAGACAATGATTTCAAGCGAAAGGTGGCTCAAGTCACCCTACACCCATTATTAAGACAAGTTTTTATCCACATTCACAATCTGGTGAAAACAAAGCAAACAGCTAATCAATTGTAATGTTAGAAATGAAAATAATAATTTCTAAAAATTCAATAACAGGTTTGTAGCATTTTAGATCGGACTAGTATTTGTAATATGTTAACAGAGATAGTGTAATCAAACTTATCGATCGCTAAACATCAAATTGATAAGCTAACTTGTAACTCTGTCACATCACATCAGTTGTGTATAAAATATCATTGCAAGTACATATAAGTATATAACATGATTTTTATAACACAATAAAATTAACAACGCATTGTAAATTACTTACTTCATAACACTGAATTACAAACAACGGCTTTGATTTGACATTTTTCTTCATTTTAATTACAACCGACACAATTCACTAACGAAACAACTGCACATTCGCGCTGCTACGTAACAAAATGCACAATTAACTTATCGTTTTCCGAGACCGCAATTCGTTTAATGAGGTTTTACGCCGATAGTGTATAGAAAATGCTCACTAATAAAAACAAGAGCGCGTGAAGGTCACAGATAATTTCCCGGCGCGCTGCGAGTGAAAATACTTTTTTTACGGTTTGGGAATTTATTTCATTGTGAGTGTTAGCCGCGAACGCTAAGAGGCAACTGGCAGGCAATAACACAGGTTTGGATACAATACAGGCGGAGGCAGGTGCGGGGCGGCTCGTTATCACGAAGTCATTCGATGCGCAATCACTGCGCTGACTGTATCGGCCAGGTAAAGTCCGCAGAAATTACCAGTGGCGTCCGCAAAAAACTACTCGGTCAGTAAACATACGGCTATCGCTGACCACAAATAGCCGCCGCTCGGATGCTAGTAACAACTGCCCTGTTAACTTCCAATTGGTTTGCCCTGTCTATTTATTTATTTAGTTTTTAGATTTAATTATTTATTAGAAGAGAACTATATTTAATCTTCAAAATTTGAAGCATAATCTTATTAGAAAACATGATTTAAATTTTAATCGATCAAGCGAAGATCTTAAACAGCTTAATAATTCTGGGTTTATCCTTCCTGCACCTAATTGATTATTCGTATCGGTCAAATGCTAGAATAAAATGATTCATTTCGATAACACTGATCGCAATCACAACATATAAAATTAATGTATGTTATTACTAAATAAAGCGCTTAGGTGTGAAATCACTGTTTCTATCCAATATGTGGAAAGGAAAGGTTATATGCAATTTTTTCAGATGTTGTTTTGACAATATAATTTTAGGTAACATTAAAAGCATGAAAAGAAGATTACGAATTAAGCATGCCCGTATTATTCTGGATGTTACAACATATCTTTAATTTACTATAATATGTTATGATTATAAGTATAAAAAAAATGTCGCTGTGTTGCGTTGACATGCTTATTTCGCTTTAATCGAAAATGAAATTGAACGTTTTGTTTCTTCTTTACACGTGGATTGTTAAGATTTTGCAGCACGTGCAACTTTTTAGGTAAATCTCTTTTTGGGTTAATACTTTTTACAATGACTAAGCAAGAAGTAAATAGTTGTCGTTAAATATTATGAGTAGATAAAATTTACTACATTAATAATATTTATAGCAAGCAATTTGTGTATATAGTACAATTTAGCTGATATTTTTTTATTAAATGAGACTTTTTATCGTTTTTTTTTCCAATTTTGTTAAAAAATGATTACAACTTAGAACCAAGCTCAGCTAAAGGCTTCTTTAATTTCTAGCTATTTAAGAGTTGAGACCTCAACTGACATATAAAAGCTTGTATTATTAAATTCAAAGTCTGAAATTGCATGTCGTTAATAATTAAGATAAATTGTAATCTCTATTAAAAGCTGTGTAATTGACGGTGTAATGGAATTATTCTATCAAAAGTCACGACTCGCTTAGTTACACTTTTTTAAATTTACGTACTCGTACAACAAGCTAATTGGCGGCACACGCAACACTTTTCTCTTACAGCTTTTTAAAATTTTACCACTTTTCCTTTTATTTTCAACTTTTTTTTATTTCAAAATTCAGCCAGTCATAACGTAAGTTCATCATTCCTCTTTAGACGCAGACTTTGTGGTATATATAGTAAGTAGTATTCTCAGATTCATGAACATAAGTATTATGTAACATAACTTTTACATATTATGTTGATGTTCGTATAGAGGTAAAGGTTGTAAAAATTGCTTTCTTTTTAAAGAAATGTTGCGTACATTATTGAAAGCAATTCAATGCAATCGCACCACGGTGGCGGCGCAACTTTACAAGGCCCTCGCGAAATACCAAAATATTATCAGAACCTTAATTCTCGGAATAAACACGCCTCAGAACCTCAGATTGCGTTGCCCTCATGCTCGTTTTATTCGACTTGCATAACATTAAATGATATTTATGTATGTATATACCGAAGTGCTTCGAGATTTATGATACATTTTTTGTTTCTTTTCCAATAACCATGTACATCAATTAAGGATAAATATATATAAAGTTATTGAGAAGAACACCAAAGCTTTAATTGAAAGGTTCGCTAAAATACTTTTATACGTTATTATGCAATTTTACATAAAGTTGAATTGAAAAATAACAATTGCAAATTTTTTTACCGTAAAACGAAACTATAAAAAATAGAAACTTCACTACAGAGCGTAGAGTTCTTTGGCGAAACCCGTAATCATTCGGTGAACATCAAAGTCTAAACAAAGCAAATAAAAAAATCTTATAACAGCATCTCATTTGATCGAAGAACCCCGGTTTTTATAGTTGTAATACTAATTTCAAAATAATTCGAGATGCTTATTTAACTGTAATGATTGTGTACTGCTTTGGTAGAGATGAATCATTATTTTAAAGGATTAAATGCCCTTGGTTTTAAACGTGAGTTTGCACTATAGAAACATTCACAGAAAGCATGCTGCGATGTCAAATGAAAAATCTGGGAAACAATAGTATGAAAATGGATTATGCTTAGCCACTGTGATCGCATAGTAAAGACAGCATGTATATAAAAATTTTTACCCATAATAAAGGTTTTTTTATAACACTGAATTCTTTTGTTGAGTAAAAGTATTGATGAATTATTATTAAAGTGACCACGCAGTTGCATACTTGAAGGAATTCGAGAGATAATTACCACCTTTCAATAATGAACACTAACATATTTTTTATATCTTTGACCAATTTGCGTTTAAGATTTTAACAAATAAAATAACGCGAACACAATACATAATTAAACTGGTTTCTTGTAACAATTCTCGATTCAAAATCGGTAAATAATTTGATTTAAACGGTTCGACCTGGTTTTCTGTCGTTAACTAAACTTCTATATGGATGGTCATTACTGATTTCATTTTATTTTTCCTTAAAAACAGTGAATGATTTGTTACTAAAAATAATATTTATAATACGATATTTTTTGCATCTTTTATACATATAAAAAATTATGTTTCTTCAAGGTTATGAAAATGCCACCTGTTCCTTATAAAGTAAGAAGCTCGTGTAAGAAATTGTCTTCGTCGTAACTTATTACGTGACGTTTAAAGAGGTTGAAGTAAACACAACCTCCTTAGCCAGCATATAAGAAATATGCGTAATACAAAAATACCAAGCAATTAACTTGTAATTTCTATGGCATCTCATTAATGGGATCGAGCATTAAGATAATGCAAGGAACATACTTTAACACATTCAATTTAATAGTTTATACAAAACTATAATAACAGGCTGAAAACGTTTGCCTCAATAAAAGTAAAAAAAAAAACAAAACTAATTCTGCGCATTGGTTTGAGGAAACACTTTTGTTTTTAAAAACATTCTATTCAGAATTCATGGAATCTTTGTACTAGGTTCTGTTGCAGAAATAATGGTGGTAAAAAGGACAAAAGATGGTCTTTCCTTTTACAACTAACTTTTTAATATCAATTTCGTATTATAAAGTTCTAATTTTTAATTTTACTCCTGGTTTTTCTATAATTATTCCCTTATTATACTGGACGAAGTTAGTCAACGGTGTAATGTTTTAGATTTAGAGCGATTGAGTAATCCTCGGCATGCTAAATCAGCGTACTGACATTGCACAAATCAGAGAGCATATTATAATTTCCTACAGCGTTAGGAAATCTGCGCTCATGAAATATTAAATTTAAAGTATACGTAAATGCTGTATCAGTTTGTATATGAACAGGTATGGCAATTCTTTACGGTCAGTAACTGTAATGATTTAGATTCAGCCTATTTAATTTCTAAACATCGCAAGTAAATATTTAAAAAACGGAAATTAATGTTAAGGAGTTGTGTAGAATTGTTATTTATACTGCATCAAATTAGTCTTTATTTAATACTAACTGTCGCCCGCGGCTACGATAAAAAACTTAATTAGCAGTCAATGTGTTCTTCCAGATAACGTTTTACATCTATGCCAAATTTCAGCAAGATCCTTCCTTCCTTCTTGCTTCAAACAAACATTCATCCATCCATCCAAACATTCGCATTTATAATATTAGTAAGAAGTAAAATTACTTATAAGTAATATTAACTAAACAATAATTTTCGCTTTCATCTAGGTCAGTTAACTTCATTAACTAGTCCATTGGAACCGATTGTAACGGCAAAGATTATTATTTCTATTTACCTTGAAGAGGCATCATCTTTTTTCATGTTCCTTAAAATAGTCACTATATTTAATTCCGAAAGATTAAATTTTATATTAAAGTATATTTATAAAGCTTGTTTATTTTTTGTTTTATTTCTTGGCCTAGAAGAGGCTATCATAATATCCGGATATCGAGGTAATCGAGCGGTAATTTGCGTAGGGTCAATCTCTATGAAATCTTAGTTGAAGGCCTCTTTGGTGCTTACTGTTATTTCATTACTTTAGCAAATTAGCATTTTGATATAGTAACTAACAGATCAGTGTTTGAAATGTTTGAATTGGATAAAGGGTTTTCCCACTAAACTTGCCATACATTAATAACAAATATTCCAGGTCTTAAACAATCGAGTGACCATGTTTTGTAATCCCAGCAAAGCGGATTTCATATTGAACGTTATGAAAAACAAGTGCATTTAAATATACGACGGCCATGCAACGGAACAACTGCATAACAGTATTAGAAAAATGTAGTAACGTTAAATTAGTACAATATTATACCGATTTTCGTAACGACAGTTCATAATTTTATGCACTATTACTTAATTGAAATGGCACACAATAGCAACTACCGCGTTAAAGTTTTGCAATAAAAGAACAATCGTACACTTTAAATATTTTTAGTAATAGTGAAAGGAAAGGTGTATAGGTAAGAACGAAATGTTTTAAATCAATGCGGTCTTTTAAGTTTACAGTACATACAGTAGTATACAATAACACTATCAAACATTAGGCTATTATAACATTATTAGCTGTTGCCCGTGACTTCGAACGCGCGGAATTTAAAAAAGAACTTAGTAGCCTATGTGTTCTTCCAGATATACGAGTAGATAGATAGATAAAGCCTTTATTCACTGACAATAAAATATACTTTTACAATATTAACAACTTATCTTTTAAAAGCAATTATACATATTAAACGTATAGTATATAGAGTTTATTGTCCAGCATCCAGTTTGTCTCAGGTTGTCCTTCGACATAAGTCTCCCCTAGTTTCCTCCATACCTCTCAATTAATAGAGAGGTAAGATAAGTTGTTAAGCTATTTTAAAATATATTTCAGTACCGAATTAGGGCAGTGGAAAAACTATGTTAGTTCCGAATAAAATGTAAAAATAGAGATGATTGAGCAAACAAACGCACGTATATCGATAATAACTTCTTGACATTTTTTTACATAGATCTTTCTTCCTGTTATCACTAAGGATTCAATGATTTAATATAATGTGTATGAAATTAATCGTTTTAATGTTACTTACCACGCCATCTGTACAATCTTCCGTCAGCGTCGCATCATCTTGATTAGCAAACATTTTTCTATGGACTTTCTTAAATTCGTCCATCAACGCGTCATGTTGTTTTTTCTTATCGTCAACGGGCTTCGGCGCAGTTGGTTTCTTAACTGGGTTTAATACAGGCGGGGTTTCAACAGGCGTTTTCTTGTTCTGTTAAATAAAATTTCGTAATTTCGAATACACAATGTGTAAATATTCAAAAAATGCAATTCAATTTCTCGATTACTGCTCACTGATTGGGACAGTGTCGAATTATTTAGAAAATTATGCTTTAACGATTTGGTTTATGAACGATTGAGATGTAAACTTATACATATCCTCATTCAAACAACGCAATCAAAATACAAGCAGCCTATTTGGATTCTGATTTATGTAAACTTGATTTAACTAGTTTGCCTTATACAAAAGCGTTCAAGACTGTCAAGTTGCGTATAAGGAAAATTGCTAGTTAGTATTTTAACGTAAGGTAAGTAAATTTGATGTATGTATAATAAATGACGATTATAATTGTAGAAAGATTTACCATTTTCCGCCTTTGTATTTCCTCGGCGATAGCGCTAGATAAGGTCGCTGTGCTTGTTATACTTGAAGTGTCGGAATTGATATCTTTTTTCATCGGTGGGGGGAAATTGCAATGCGTGTTGGCGCACGCCGCCGGGGCCACGTGGTGCACCTCGACCACGATCGTCTTCTTTTCTTTATCTCTATTCGTTTCATTCGTAAACACATTCTTTCTCGGCGTCTGGTTATTATCATAACTACATTGAATAGTGGCGCCATCTTCAGTTAAATTTATTATAGTTCGATTTAATGGACTTGTTACTCGCGTTGGTTCAAATTCTGTTTTATTTTTTCGCAGGTTTGTTTTCTTTTCGTATGTATGCGGATTGTTCGGATTACTTGGACTGTCATAGTCAGGCTCTATGTCAGAAGGTGCGTCGAAGTTGTGCGTATCGTCGTTTTTCCATTTGAAATCCAGACTGTCCCAAGTTCTTCTTTTGATTCGGTTCATGGTTAATCTGAAAAATAGTTGTTTTTAAACTCAAAGTCTAAAATATTAAAAAAAAATTACATTTTGTTGTTAAGACAGCTGGTTTCCCGTATTATGTATGAAACATGAACTCCTTAAATGATTGGTTAGAAACTAAATATTTCTATTTTGGATATAATAGACTAGTCTCTCAGTTTAGGTAGCTACTTCGGAATTGGAATTCCATGATTGTCACCTGTCTGCTCTGTCAGCGGCTTCCTCAGCAACGCTGGCGAGCCTCCTACGCAGCGCGGCGGGCGGGGCGAGGGCAAGAGGGAGAGGCGCGGGCGCGGGGGCGGGGCTGCGCTCTCCGGCAGCGGAGGACGCCGAGCTGTTGTAACCCGAGCTCTCCGGAGACACCAGCTCCGTGCCCGCGCCCTCGCGGATCACAAGCTCAAGGCGACCACTCACTTTCATTGCTGATATCGCCTATGACAAGAAAGTAATTCTAAGTATAGTTAGTTGTTACAGCTCAAAAATAACAAGCATTACAGGAATGTTAACAACTTAGTATAGTGGTCGTGGTTGATTAATTGATTCTGGGTAATGTACTGAATTTTATTTATTAAAAAAATATTAATTACTTCAGCAATAAGAAACTATAGCACTTAAGATACACAAAATTTATATCCACTCTTTAAGTCATAATAATAAATCTGGTCATTTTTCGTCGACGTCTTCGGGTCGATGAAAAATATATAAATGTGAATAATAATCACCTCATTGAAGGAGATATTAGCAAAATCTTGACCATTGCAGGACAAAATCTGATCACCGGGCCTCAAGCCGGCCTCCCGCGCTATTCCACCTTCCCTCACAAATTGCACAAAGATACCAGGCTTCCAGTCCGGGCCCTTACATATTCTGGGAAAAAAACAAAAAAAGGTTTTATGAACATTTAAATAGTGTTTTTGACATATCAATAATGGCAAATAAAGTTATAAGTTAACACTGCTAAGCCCAACCATTCAAGGCACCCATAGTAATGTCGGATTAAACACTCATTTCACGATGCGAAAAGCATTCTGATACTTTTTCACATACGTGTTATTTTTCATCGCACGTGTAGGAAAAATACTCTGAATACTACCTCAAGTATTAGATAGTTTTACTCAATGTATTTTATGTTTTGAAACTAAACATCATTGCTATTTAAAATATTCAGGCGTATAATTTTAGTTACTGCGGTTACGGTCTGTAAAAGTATAGTTCTGATGTTTCTTATTGTCTAGTTTTAGTTTAATATCGTTCTTAAATTATATACAGGTAGAAATTAAAAATATGATAATTACCCGCAGCCGAGCTTAGCGCGGGGCGGCACCAGTATGGAGAGGCGCATATCGGTGAGGCGGTCAGCGAGATCGCACAGTGTAGGTGATGAAGACGCGGCTGACGACAGCGACGCGCGCTCCGACACAAACTGCCAAGACAGCGGCTCGTGGTCTTTCCTACGACAAACAAATATAATCGTAAATGATGTCCTAGGTTAAGTCCGTTCCCCACTAAGACGACTAGTCTCGCCACTCGAGTCAAGACTCCTATTTCTGTTAAGAACATACTACTAATTGCAGCAGTCGGAAGCAACGAAAAATTACATCGTCTATCAGTTGACGTAGAATCATGTCAAATTGAAAACGTTATTTTGACTCTAGGCACTGCCTTTCCTTCAGAAATAATTTACCTTTGAAACATTGAATCCACGAATCACGGAGGTGTAAATAATTTAGCTTCTTCTATCTAGTGATCAGATTCTTACAGGATGGGTATCTGCTACATAGTCTTTGTGACTCTAATGATAATTCTCATCAAGTAGAAAGTTTGGTTACTTATTTATTTTCTTGCTTCCTTGAGAAGTGATAATGCGATCGATTCACAAGAACACTATTTAGCAACATAAATTATTATCAAAACATCATTGTAGTCACAATATAGGTAAACACGGCTGATGTGGAGAAGACTGTTTAGTTTATGCTTTGCTTCATACATTGTTATTACATTTAAGACATCGATATGAGTAATACTAGTGATGCAAAATATTTACCAGTAAGTTACAATAAATGTAAATAGTCTTTGGCATTCTAGATTTTTGGTACCAAATATTTTAGTCAAAATCGTTTTGATAAGATTTGCTCGACATACAAGTTTTGGAAAAAAAAATAATCGTTTGCATTTAAAAATGTAAATAAGAAGAAAAAAAAACTCGTATATAACGGGTTACCTATATTTAGCAAGGTACTAAAAACTAATGCCTGTTTTGGTGTTGATGTGTTATAAACACAGTGAAGTTGCGTGAGTGTGGTTATTTCTCATAAATTAAAGGAACTTGTAGCCTTGTTCCCAAACACGTTTTCAATTATAACTAAAACCGGGAGCGCAGCGGATGTGCTGCCGTGTTGCTCATTTATAAGACAAAAACGAGATCTTCTCAAAACAAGTACTCACTCTTTGACCGGAATCATGCCCACGTCTGAAACCAAAAAAAATAAATATATAAAATTCTCGTGTCACAATTTACTTTTGTTAGTAACCATACTCTTCCGAAAAGGCTTGACCGAATTTTTACAATATTTTGAAAAATCGGTTTTTATTCTTTAATCCTGCGCGGACGGAGTCGCGGGCGACAGCTAGTATTATTTAAATCATTATGAGTTGAATTAGCAAAGTGTTAAAACCAAAAGCCAGTTTGTATTGCACAAGTTAAATCCTTTTATTACTATAAAAAGTAGATCCATAAATGCTAAATTGATTAAAAATATGTCCGTCAGTCGATACTGGCGGTCAGTATGAGTTGCGTTGTTGTGGGATCAACGATCGGTTAAATCGGATAACAAACAATAACGCACTTGTAAATGCAGACATAAAACATTCCAAACACATTCTACCGTCTCGATGTATGCGTCTGCAATTAACTTTTAAGTGTTGATTTCTTTACAAATGTTTAAGTTTTTACAAACAGTAGCCACAATGTTCTAAATGGAAGTTTTATACTTTTACTATTGACGTTTTTATAATTAAAATATTCCAGCATGAAATATGCAGATACATACCTAATTACGTCGCAATTGTCACAATTAAGTAAAAAGTAATTAAATGTTGCATATTAAAAATTAATCCGTAGCCGTATCAAAACTAATCACTACCAAGTGTCAGCTTTTAGACTTCTTGGAAGGAGTAGATACGCTGTCTAAATTGACACCTTTTGATGTTACATGATCACTGCGCTAAGCCCCATTATCTAAGCGACTCGCCACGTCATTTCTTTAGCAGTTAAAAATCCCATTTTCACTGGCACGGCTGCGAATTCTACACTAATTTACAGACAAATTGACGGACGCTCGAGTCTCATAGTGGAAAAATGGTTTAATCGTAACTTACGTCGCACTTTTATCTTGAGTCGGGACTGCGAGGTAAGGTAATGCGCGAGCTCGGCGTGCACAGCGTCCTCCACTCGGTATCCATTCACACTCACTATTTGATCGCCCACCTGGAACATACAATAAAAATATATATAATATGACAATACAAACACACAAAATACAATAACTGGTTGTCAATTTAATAAATCCGACTGTTGGAACTTATGATAATCCAGTGAAAAATGCGACTCCAATGACGCCTCACTAATCATACTTTTATACTTTAGGCCGTCACAGTGGACCTTGCGCGAGACAAACGTAACTCTCCTATTCTGTCCCTTAGTAAACAATTAGTAAAGTCTGTGTGCGGCAGTAAGTTATTAACATATAACGTTAAACGTTAATGTTAAAGTAAACATGTTTATATTCAGAAAGTGTTGGTCACGAAAGTGTCAGAATATAAACAACTGGGTTAACACTAAACGGCGACAAACGACGTGTGAAATTTAACAAGAACGTGATCTCAATGCGAATAATAATTTCACAGTTTAAATGATAATTAAGTGATGTTTTAAATTTCGACAGAATTAGCTATTATACGTAATATAAACATACGCTGTGATCATCATATGAACGATTATTGGACAGACCCAATTGTCAACCTCGTTGTTTGGAAGAACACTTTTATTGAATACTGTTATTTTTATTATAGCATACTCTTGGATGTTATTTACGAACGTGACGTGAGCATAGCGTTCGATTAGCTTCGAGTTTTAGTGATGTGATCGTTTCGTCGTGATTGGTGTGATGAATGAAGTAGTGACGTCAGAGTCCCACGCTAGGTGGTGACGCGTTGGCTTGTGACGAGAGAGGAGCACTTTCTTCTCGTTCGGCCAAGCCGGACAGTCGTGGCCCACATAGCTGGCAACTTTCGATCAGACTTTCAATCTACCTCCTTGTTTTTTTTTTATCTCACCGACGCGGGAGAATCGATGGATTACGATTTCTTGATTAATGAAGGGCGGACATATTATTATACGGTACCTTACCTAAGGAACGATCTGATTTCATATCGAGGCCAATTTTTTCGAAAGCTGGATATAAAAAACATATAATTATACTTCAAACTTATTTGTATTTCTGACATCAGAATGGTTCTTGCTGAAGGCAAGTCTACATTTTAATATATGTAAAACTAAAAATCAACATGATGTATAAATTTTGGCTTTAGGATTTTATTCAACAAGGTATAATACTGACATTTATAATCGATTTTATTATTTCTGCACCAATAATTTCATTTTATACCGTTATCAATACAAACACAAAATACAATTTGTATACGCCCCGGGCTTGGATAATTGACAGTGAATTTATAACAGTTATGAGAAGCGATGTTATTTTGATCCAATTTGACTTGAGAAAACCGCACCAACCGCATTTAAATCGATTAGTGCAGCGGGATTAGCTCATTAATACAATATCCGTTACAGTGTACCCGTGGTTTCCCACTACCGAAACATATACAAAAGCGCAGCATTATCTCAGTTCTTTTAAATTGAAAGTGAAAATAATATGTTTTTGCACAAATCTCGTGGCACTGGAAAATTGCTTTTTAGTTACAATTTAGTGTTCTCTATGTACATTCGCGCGCAGAAATAGCAAAAACCAAATCTTTGCAATGTCAATTCTAAACGACACGAGTAAACATGTTATTAAACACGCGTCAATCAAATTCTATTCAGCGATTAGAAATGAATGAATTCGCAATGAATAAAAGCCTTTCATTATCGGCTTACGTTAACCTATTGATAAAGATTTTATACCAATAACCAATTTCAATACGATTTGACATTTCACTAAACATATACGTACATTTTTAATCATATTGCAAAATTAATTATTTTGATTTACGGTTTATTTGAACGCTAGTTAACAGAGGACTGTTTAGTGAAATGTTAAAGATTTCTGAAGCTACGTAAAATAATAAATTAACAAAACTACATGTATCAACAACACCTGTAAATTTCAATGTCAAGTGGTTCATTTGCGCACACGAGGTGTTTGACTGTTTACACTTTATCGATGACTCACTGAATGATAAAGCCCACATTATTATACCAGCTGTGCGGTTTATTTGGTGTCTGGTGTCATTATAAAAGTACTAGACGGTATTAATAAATGAATGAGGGTATATTTAACTGTTTGCGCCAAATATCAATTATACAGGTACATTTTGTAGATTCAGTTATCGTTTACGCTATCAAATAAGTATAAATTTATAAGAAGTAAGAATAACACGTGTAGACGTCCGCGTGGATATATAAAAAAACTTAATTAGTGTAACTCACCCATCAATCCACATCACATCCATCTAAAAATTCGCATTTATAATATTAGTAAGTTAATTAAAAAGCAGCTCTTCAAGGCATAAATTCGAAAAAAAATGAATAAATAGTATCCTATGTCCGTCTCCTGGCTCTAAGCTACCTCCTCACCAATTTTCAGCCATATCGGTAAAGCAGTTCTTTAGTTATAAATAGTTTAACTAGCACGACTTTTTTTATATATTATATTATAATATTATATAAGATTGGGTTATTACTCATATAAAAATATTTCGATGAATTTTAAACAATTAATTATTGTTAATAACAAAACTTTTAATTGATTATGAATTGTAAAAAATATTAACAATACGAAATAATATACGGTATAAAATGTTTTAAACACAGCAAAAGTAGAAAAAAAAGCAAGTACTTTGTTAACTATTCTATAATTTCTGACAACGCCATTTACGATCTTACTATTCCTTACAAAGCCCTGAATAGTTTCTGCGTTCCATAGCCTTAATCAGAAACTGGTTTCTTTTCGGATTAGGGGTTGCATAAATATGTAAATACATTAGTATGCACCCGATCGGCCATCTGCAAATGTAAAACTCAAGGAAAAATTGCTTCTTGTAACCATGTTAGTATTATATTTCTCTTTAAGTGTATTAATTTATTAGGTAGGCCGATGATGTAATGTTTTCTAGACATTTTGAGCTTGAAGCATTCGTTGTCAGATCTTCATAGCGTTAGCAAATAAACCGGTTGGATTGCTCGCAACCGATGCAATGAGCACTGAACACCAATACCCACCATCTCTCTTGTTTCCTAACAATACTTGCCCAACTGTATTAACCGTATACTATTTATTCTTTTTTTAACCGGAATGGTGGCTGATTACAATCGAATATCATAAAAAGTACTGGCCTGTAAGATTTGCGCACTAACATTGAGGAATGAAGGAAAAAGCTATATTTTGTAATTTTTAAGACCCGTTGCATAATTTCTATATTTTTTATAAATATATTTATATTTTACAATATCTGCATCTAGCATAAGTAGAAAGAAAATATCCGGTAGAATGCTGTCTGTTGGCACACTGACCTAAGAATAAATTTAAATTATATATTTTATACAACTTTCGGACATTAAAGCTTGGTTGTGTCTTATTTAAATTGGAATTTTTCACAGTAGTGCAAGACGTTGTTGTAACCTAAAAGTAAAAGTGATTTTTAAAGACAGACCAGGAAGTCAGACATCGTTACGAATATAGTTAATACTATTTTAATAAAAACTTAAGTTTTGAAACATGTATTAATAGATTTTTGAGAGAATCAATAACTAAAATTGTGTAATTAATTCCATATTTCTTATCGTAAACAAACAATACAAATGCGGTCGCGGTGCCATGGCACAGGATAAGTAACGCTTTTCTATTTTAGCAAATATTACACAAGAGTTTACACAGAGGCTCACACGGTATAGAAAGTGGGCGTTTGACGCTGACCAGCGCAGATAAACTGACTCACGCAGTCTCAATGCTGGCTGAGCTATTTCTAAATTGTCGTATAATTGCACACAACTCGCCTTCTTCCTGTACTTAAAGCCGTTTACTCGGGACACATAATATTTTCTTTCTTTAAATCATTTCTCCTACGGCGCGGAAAATTTCACTCGACACGCGTTATAGCCGTGCTTTAGTTTCCGTTTTCTTAACTAATTGCAACGTATTTACTGACATTTATAATTTTATGCTAAAACACGAGATATAAAGTCAATAACCTCATGTAATAATACGCACATAAGTTTAAACAGACGCTAAGTAACTTTTACGGCTTGGATGAAAGAAAGAAAACCTCAAAAGAGGAAAATCATTTGTGTTTTTCTTCAATAGACTAATTTCCCTGACCTTGTCTCAATTATACGTAGGGTTGGCGCACCAGGTTCTGTCCTACGTATCGACCTATGTCTATAATTGCTAGATTCTAGACATAGGTAGAATACGTATTTAAATTATATAGTAACTTACCAATGTTGGACAAGAAATAACACTGGCCACAAAATTAACTTGCCGTATGATTATTTTATTAATATACATTCTACGAACGCCGCTCGAAGATTTCTGAGCTTTATATTTTGGGTATGTTTATATATTTTAATTTTCGCTATCCGACTTCCCAAGATTTCTTGTAAAAGCCAAACAACTTATTGTGCCGCTAGAATAACGGATGTACTCATGAATTTTCGCAATTTCATTGTTAGGAAGTAATTATGCGAAAATTAATCTGCGCCGCTGCGAATTTGAATTATTGTGTTTACTACTGTAATTATAACTGTCTTATTGTAACTTGATTGCGGCATTCAGTTAAGCGAATTAAATTTTTATTATCGGTAGCCTTTGAAATTGTTAACTTCCACGTATTTTTATATCATAAGGCATAAAAAGAGCCAGCGACTACCTAATTCACTGAAATAGCGATTCGACCGCAGCACATAGACATCCGCAACTGCAGATGCGTTGCCTACCTTTAATCAACGGTGGAGGAGATGCACAGAAAGAGAATATTTCACCTTACTATGCGTAGACAAATCCACATGTCCTTGCCATCCTTTCCTTTATCAAAGCGGAGCAGGTAGCGAAAGAGGACAATTATTTTTTTCTTTCTAATCATGGAAAGCGTAAAATAAATTTGATTAGCCATTGCTTTTTGCTGTCTTGTAATCAATTTAAAGTAAATAGCTTCATTATGTATCCGAATTCTTAAGCATGTGCAATAAACACATGTTTTTTTGTGATTGAATCAATACAAGTTAAAAGCAAGACTCCGAATGCGAATGTGCGTCTAAACGTTTAACAATAGAAAACGAATAGTTGCTGTTACCTAACGAACAAAATTATTTATCTTAATGCAATGTTCCGTTGTATAAATGCTGTTATGATTAATTGACAAATAATGATTACGCTTACAACCCTGTACTAAAATTGTCTTACGTAAGTCAGTGTGTATTACAATTAACAATAATCCAAATCGTAAATGAGAAATTTGACCCAAATTATTGCGAAAATAAAGCGATCATACAAACGGCGGTACCTGGCGATGGGCGGTCTTTAGGGCTGACACAAATTTTTAATAATAAACATCTGATAATACAAAGCGAAATTTTTAATTATTAAATATCAGCCCACAATTCGATAGCTTATTTTTGTTTCAGATATTTTTAATAGAAGTAGAAGTAAGTTTTAGATATTAGTACTTTGATTTATCAATTCGGTAGCCCTATATACAGAGGAAACTACAATGTTACGTGAGCAAAAAAACAATAACAAGAGTGGTATGCGTCTTGCGACAATTCAGCCTCGGAACCGAGCAATTGTGAAGCCGGCAAACTAGCCCACTGAGTTAATTGTTCGACGCGTTCGCATCAGCCCAGCAGTGGGACACGAACGTGAGAAATTGCACAACGCTTCACATGTCGCATGGTGTTGAATCAATTTTCTCTCGTGTCCAAGTGCGTACAACGACAAGAGACAATGAGATAATGCTCTATTGAATCCGCCTGCGAAACAAATCGGTAGACTTAGAACAATAACTCTGTGAATACATTCATTGATTTATTGTTTCAGGCGTATCGTATTACATCATACACAACCCACATAAAAAACTAAAGTTTCTAAATTATCAATTTATAATCCGACGAGTCATTTTGTATACATACATACATCTCAATAACTTGTAAACTAAACTAAGAACTTTCTATTACAGATACAATTTTAGCCATATATGACTGCCGGTAGGTAAACAGTGAAAATCCTAAGAGAAGTTATTATATCAAACCTGACCTAGGTTTGATAGTTAACTAACCTTTAATCCTTGTAGATGTGCCTCGGAGTTGATGTCGACTTTTGATACGAAGAATCCGGTGGCATACTCGCGGCCGCCGCGCATAGCGAAGCCGAACGCGGGTGCGGCACGGCGCGGCCGCAGTAAACGCACGACGCGTACGCGTCGCTCCACCGGGCCCACCGCGGACTCGCCGCGCGACCCCGACGTAGTCGTTGACGCCGTGGATGTCGAGTACATCGTGCAGCTACAACAAGCAAAAGCTAATTAGAAAATTTTATATTCTTAAAGCCATTATAAAACTTCAGGAAATAAATCAAATGCCCTAAATAAACACCATCGCGAGTTATTACAGTCAAAGCAGTAAAAACTAATAAAATAAATCCGTTGAGTTAAACTGAACAATTTTTTTATACAAGTTGGAGGTTGCTTATTTTGACAAGTGAAATCTTTATGAATGTGAGATATTTGAATGAGAAAGTAATTATTTGCTATCAAATGTCATCATTATTTAAATTGCCATACTACTCATTTCGTTTCATTTTTTTTTAATCGGTGGAACATAAATTTGACCTCTTGTCTGCCTGTCATTTTCTTAAATAGCTATTAATTTAGTAACAAATTTTAAAACCTCACTGCTAGAAACTTGTAACGATATAAATATAAATAAGATATTCTATGTTAGGCATGAATACGTCTTCAAGATTTTCACACGGGACATTTGTTGAGTTACGTACATCGCAATTCACATTTGAAGGCAAAAATGCCACACTCATTTATTATTGCCAACATAGTATCTGTGTGCGTGTGTGTAAATTACGTCATTTTATATATCTAGTGTCATAACACGTCATAAACCAGCTAGTCATAAAAAGACTAGACTTAAGTCTACTACAAGATGACAAGTTACTTAGGATTATGCTAGACCGGAACACATAGTCAAAATACATAGAACTCATTATTGGACTGATAAGATATGACAAAGTAAATGAATGTTTATTATTTAAGAATTTGATGAGCTATGTTATGACCAACGGCTTTTTATTTACACAAATGATTTAGACAATTTTTGACGAATTTAGTCCCCAAAAAGATTAGAGACGACGAATAATTTTTCCTTTTTTGTTATCTTACATCTGTATTACAAAATCTACAATGTAAATGAAAATATTATAAAATTAGTACTGTGAACAGTAAGTTAGTCACTCGAATAAAACCTTAAACCAACTAATTATCTGCAATCATCTCAAATAACGTATGGGAACTAAATTAGAGAAACTTTATTCATAAATTTCTAAATTACATAAAACACCATACAACAGGTGTAGAACTAAGCAACAACAATATTAACCGAAACTATTATCTATACAATGGACAATCCGATCATAGTTAAAGGAAAGCAAAGAGGAAATACTCTTCATCCGGAATTGACCTAAAAATAAGAAGCCTTACTAACACTTTGTTAGCTTCCTTTGTGTAATAACTTTAGATGCGAATTTCAAGAACCTTTTAAAAATGTCAAAATAGTTGCTGTATTATAATTTTAAATAGATGAGTTTTTAAGTTCGTTTGTCTATTTATTTTGTGATCCTATAGTAATCGTCGTAACTATTTCTAAAATTGTCTTCATGACCACTAGCTATTAAAATTTTAATTTAATTCAAATCATATGGAAATAGTCAAGTAGCCAAATAACGTTAAATACTTTCGTATTCTCATAAATTAGATTTTAAATATTTGCAAAGATTACAATAGGAAAGAATTTTTTTTTGTATTTATATCTTGTATTATGTTATAATGCATGTGTAATATTACTAGTTCATGTAACAGATCATAAGTCTTGTTGGAATGTTATAAAATGTGTGTCATCGCAATTGCATTCAAAATTTCCATGGTGTACATCAATCACGTACCGCAGTCGTGTGTAGACACTTGTTATGTATGTCTCGGATTGCCCATACTGAATACCATAAAACGGTATCCTTATAACCTATTTCCAGCCTTTCCAATTGTATAGATATTGAATTCCAAAAATTCAATTAACATATTACAGAAAGAAGCCAATGATAACTTTTATATTTTCTAAAATAATTAAATTTAAAGCATTCAAAAGAATTTTCAATAAAAGCAGATTAAATTATCAATAATAAAACAAACAAAGAATATAACAGTCGCTTTATTTTAGATCGATATGAAAGGAAACTCACTAAAGTTCAAGTTCAAAGTTTATTGAACTTTGGCGTCAGAAAGTAAATTATTTTCGCTCAAAAGTTTATATGAAAATTAAATATCCTAATTCAAACAAAACTTCTTAGTTGATGGGTTGGAATTTGTTCAAAATAACAAACACAGCGGTATTCAATAAATTCAGTTTGCCAAACTGGTTTTAAACCTCTGCGACCACAACGTTTGAACAATGATTTTCTAGGCAAAGACGTTGTTAACATTAACTATATTATGTATATTTGATGAAGTTGAAATCGATTGAAACTTCTAGGAGTAAAATAACACAATTGTTCAAACTAAATTAAAATGATATTTGATTTAACTATACCATAAAGAAAAAAATATTTGTTAACGCAATATTATGCACATTTTCGAGTCATTGTCTTCTTGTTCTATAACTGTTTAGCTATTTTAGTTGTTATTTGTCTAAAGTACAAAGATCCGGGGTCACGGGGGTGGCGGTAGGGAGTGCAGGGAAGGGAAGGCGAGGGCAGGCGAGGGCAAAGGATACCAGGAGACGGCAGGAGTGCACTCCTTGGAGGAGCAACGACCTCGCCGCGAACTCCGGCCGCACTTCGTCACTGATATCCGTCACACTCGATGATTCGCCGGACCTTCATTCCTAAGCAATTTACAGTCTATATTTACCTTGAACTATTGTTTCACGCGCCGCATGTAATGTAACCTGTTCCGATATAAAGATAAAAACGGTGATATTCTTCGCATCATATCTGTATCAAGACATATGCACTATTATCATTTTGAATATTTTAAAATAGGAAAATGAACCGATTTTTATTGATAACGTTCATTTTTAACACCCTGTAACTCACAACTAAATGCACCAAATAGGGAACAGTTAAAGGTTTTTTTTTTAGTATGAAGTGTCACCATTTTGAAAGGTCTGGTCGTTGTATAATCGATACTTTACGCAATATGGATTACCAAACCCATCTTCCTAAAATAATAGACTTTTTTTCCCCAGTCAGATAATTTTCTAAAATTTCATAACATATTTTAAAATTTTCAATGAAAATATTAAATGCATTATACAAAATCATTAGTCAGTTGTTAGGAGCCACCCTTAGCTTAGTATAATTTTCTTGATAAAGCTTTAGTTCACGGCTGTTGCGAGGCATTGCATAGTAAAGCCGGCGAACCGGTTTCCTCACGACGCAACTGTCCAGACTCTCGAGCTATAAATTTTTTGCACTAGGCAGGGCATCTTATTGTAACAATAAATCATTTCGCCGTGCTCTCAGCTGAAGCCATAGTTTTAAACGAAGATTACAATCAACTGAAGTGAGTTGTCCGGACTTTATTTATTACGTGGGAGTCGCGGTTAAAGCTAATAGTCACCATAAATTGGCCCCGAAGAATGCTGTCCAGGTATTTTGCCGTCTTAATAATATTATCTTAATCTCGAGAATGGTGCTAAATAATTATTATTCGATAATACTCTAACACCTCTATACTATCGTAATGTTGCGAGAATTTATTACCGAGTAAGTAATATTAGTGGTAAAAATGGTTGACTTAATAAACATGTACACAAACATAATACATTCAATAATAAATTTAAGAGTAAAAACAAAGTGGTCGTTCCTACGAATGAGTTGGCAAAACCAAACAAATTAGAATACCGTAAAATTGCATCACTTCTGTAGTATTTCTTATACTAACTGTAGTCTGTCCCGGGATAGTATCCTATAACGTGTAATGAGGGATTCCATGTCAACGATTACAGAATTATCATCGATTACATAGCATTTCAAATGAAAATAGGCATGAATCTGCAAGATGTTTAGACATCATGACTATCAAATAGAAAAAAATAGGCAGTATGAGTGTTATGATGTGAATCTCAAGTTTTAAAATAATTGTTGGAATATCTTTATATATATAATTCTTCTGTGAGTGTATATGTCACTGAAATTCTCTCAAACGACTGGACCGATTTTGATGAAATTTTTTGTGTGTGTTCAAGGGGATCTGGGAATGGTTTAGATTCACAATTTTCATCAAATATTAACTTCATATTAATTTATTCAAATTAAAGACGTGTAGACAGGACAACTTCTGTCGGGTCCGCTAGTCTTCTATATATTTTTGACACATCAAGGTCATTGATACGCACATTTTATTTAAAACGAGTGATGTAACGCGTTTATGTCTTTTACTCCTTACTCCTAATCAACAAAAAATAACAAGCTAATATATGAGATATTTTCTTTATCGCAAAACAAAATTAAAGGAAGTTGACTTGACTTGTATTCATTTTATATTCATCAATATTTATACTTACGTATTTGTTAGCATTAAAATCACGTTATAAAGTTGTCATTTAAAAGGTGTACGGATAAGATTTTATTTTAAGACATTTACGTTCAATGACTGTGTCGATTATACGAATAAAAAAATGACAAAAAGCGTGAAAGTGAAAGTTCCGATAGACTTGCTTAAAACGTACACTTGACACAAAATTGAGTTTCATCGTAATAGCCAGCGCGATAACTTGCGCCCCTGACAACGTTATTGATTATTGCTTTTCGTTAGATATTACTATGACTAACATATTTTATTGATACAACTAAATAATGTTGTTACATTTGAAAATACACGTCGACTATTTCACCAACAGCTCTAACGATTTGAATGAAATTATTGAGCGAATGACGCATTACATTAATAAGTAGGTTCTGCTCGCGATACCCATCGCGAGGAATTAACAAAATTTTTATTTATAGCCATTCAGACACACTTTCGCATTTATAATATTATATGTAGTAAGATATGTACGGATTTAACCTATAAAATAAATAAAAAATGTCTTAAATGTAAAACATAATTAAAAAGTTACCTTTTGGTTTTTATTATCACACCTTTTCAAGGATTAAAATCTACATATTCCATTTTTTTGTACAAAATAATGCGATAAAATTTATTATGTCATCTGCTATCGTATTATACATAAGCATAAGCCATTTTTAATACTCAACCCTAATCCAAGAATCGTTTGCA